TTCTTTAATTTCTTATTAAAAAGATCTATTTAAGGATTGATATGGCAAAAGATTGATATAGATACAACTAGGACTTAAATTCTTAATTTTTTTGATAGGTAATCACATAATTTTATTAACCAAAAGATAATACACAAGAAGTGCACTATCAATGTAAACAAGATAGAAATAACATGAAATTAGGCCGGCCTTCTATCGGATTAGTAGCTGCAGTATTAAACCAAATATAAAAGTCAAATAAAACAATTCTTTAAACTGCTTCGTCGTCCGTATTTGATTTTCAAAACAACGGTCGTTCCTTTCTCTCCACTCATACCATGCAATGCATCCTCGAATAAGATTCCAAACAAGCTAGTTATTCTTATTTCGAAGCTTTCTCCTCCATGCTTGCATCACGGCCTCTATACGTCTTGGTAACACCCAACTCATATGTTGAGAAGTTGGAATATCGTTCCACAGTCAACAAATACCATCATAATGAATGAATAAATGGTTAATCGTCTTTCCATTCCTCTTACAGATATAGCACCACTTGGTAATATAATAACCTTTTCTTTCAAGATTGTCCACCATCAACACCTGTCCCCTCACAACCATCCATAATTAAAATGCTACTGTCGGAGGCAATTTACATTGTCATACCCTCTTCTAGGGGAATGAACTTTGTACAGGTTCCAATAAGGATCCTAAATAAGTGCGAACAGAAATTACCATTTTCATGCCACCCTCCACCTGCAACAATCGTCCTTTCCTACTTGGATGTGCACCTTAAGCAAAGAGGTCAAAAATAGCGCATAATCATTTGATTCTCAATCCTGTAAACCCCTTCTGAAAGCGATGTTCCAGCTTGGACTCCCATTAGTATAGCTATTATATCGTTCACCGTAGCAGAAGACTCCAAAGTAATGCGATGCAAAGAAGGAACCCGCACTTTTAGTGGTTGATCTCCACACTAACAATCTTTCCAAAATTTGACATTCGTACCATTCCCCACCACAAAAGCCAATCTATCCCGAAAATTACTTCATTCCTTCCTGATATATCTCCACACTCACACCCCAAAAGACCCCGACCCTCATCCGATCACCAACCACCTCCATAAACACCATATTTCACTCCAATGATTTCTATCCAAAAGCTCTCACTCTCCACTCCAAATCGCCACAGCTACTTGCCCAACAAGGCCTTGTTGGACAATACAAGGCTCCATAATTCAAAACCCCCCACCCCAATAGGGGAACAAACGTCGTCCCATTTAATCAAATGAAATTTTCTCTCTTCCCCAAACCCTGTCCAAAGAAGCTCCCTTTGAATATTCTCTAATCTATTTACCACTGCAGCAGAATAGGAAACAATGACATAAAATAGGTTGGGAGATTAGAAAGAGTAGATTTAATGAGAGTGAGATGACCTCCTTTTGAAAAGTACATATGCTTCCACCCTCGCTAACCTCCTCTTATCCTTTGTATAGTACCATTCCAAATTTGTTTACTTTTGACCCGTGTTCCTAAAGGAAGCCCAAGATATGACACAGATAATTGTGCAACTTTACAATCCAATGTAGAAGACCTCTCCCACGGGAATAGCCTCAAATTTCCCAAATTTATCCTTAGTCTAGATACCGCTTCAAAGCACAGAAGCAAACGATGCAAATTCCTAAATTGCTCATCATTTGCATCACAAAAAATTAGTGTATCATATGCAAATAACAAATGGGAAACCTGTAGCATAAAGTCTCTTAACAGACCCTCTCTTACAGCTTTTTCAATCATCCCATTAAAGGCTTCCATTACAATAACAAATAGCAATGAAGTCAACGGAACTCCTTGCCTCAAATCTCTGCTACTTTGGAAGTAACCTTCAAGGTTTCCATTAACCAAATCTGAGAACGAAATCGTAGAGATATAGAATTAAATCCACTTACACCACTTATCTCCAAAACTACATCACCTGAGCATATACATAAGAAACTCCAAGTTGATTTGATCATATGCCTTCAAATATCAAGTTTACATAACATCTCTAGAACCTCCTGACGTATTCTTAAGTCAATGATTCGTTCACTATAAGAACTGAATCCAAAATTTGGTGCCCTTTCACAATAGCATTTTGAAACTTAGACATCACTTTTCCTAGCACCTCCTTTAATCTATTTGCCAGAACTTTAGCAATTATCTTGTGCACCTCACTGACTAAGCTAATAACGATAATTCTTAATGCCAGACACTCCTGGTTTCTTAGGAATTATCACTAAAAATGTGGCATTAAAACTTCTTAGAAACCTGCCACATTCGAAAAAATAAGTGATAACATCCATAATGTCCGATCACACCACCTCCAAACAAACCATATAGAATGAGATCAAGAAATCCGGTACAGGGGCCTTCACATCATTCTTACTAAACACCACTTCCCTAATTTCGTCCTCCTCAAATTATCTCTTTATCCAACTAGCATCGTCCCTGATGATAGTGGAAAAGTCCAAACCCTCCAACTCTAGCCTCGACTCAAACTACTCTCGATAGAGATTTTGATAGAAACTTTTCAGTTGAGTCCCAATATCCTATGGGTCTTCGTAGGTAACCTCATCTACCTTCAGCAATGTAATAGAATTGTTGCACCGATTGGAATTAGCAACCCTATGAAAGAACTCGGTGCATTTGTCACCGTCCTTCAACAACGTGAACCTAGATTTCGGACATCAAGCAATCTTTTCCATCTCCACCAATCCCTCCAACTCTCCTCGTAACACTCCACGTCTCTATCTCTTTTCCATCCAACCCTCGACTATCCTCCTACCCATCCAACTCTTTAATGTCTGAAAGACACTAATTTTTACAACAGTTTACGTCTCCTGTCATTTCCTCATTCTACTTAAATTCTTAATTGGCATTCATATGCAGAAGAAATTATCAAATTTATTCTCTAGATAAAATGTTATCCCGGATGTTTCATATCTATTATTACTTGATCACATGCTTGCAATTTGACTTCAATTTCTACATGGTTTAAAATTATTTTCTTTTCCTCTACAGTACAACTGCTTGTGCAAAATCAATTAACAGCAGCAAAAGACCATTTTTGGGACTGGATAGGTAACAGTTAACAATTAAAAGGCTCCTTGCCTGTTTATGAATTTGTTTATTTATGTGATTTTGTGTTTTCTTTTTGTTAATATTAAAGATTGTATTTCGTGGCTCGTATAGTGCCTTAAAGATTTAATTTCGAAGATTTTAGCGTTGATTTTCTTGATCACCTTTGGTTTAATAGAAAATCTTTTGGGAAAATTAGGCTCATTACCCCCAAAAAATAAGAAATTAGAATAATACTATTAAAACTAATTTAAATACTTAATCCCGTAATAAATACACCCAGATCCCCTCAAAACCCCAAAACAAGCCAATGCTCATTATTGATTATCGCCAAAAAATCCCAAAATCACCACAAAATCCACGACTGAAGTTTCTTCGTATGAAAAATATAGGGCAAAAAAAACCATAGCCAACCGGTAAATCATTCCATGGCGACTTTGGTATTTCAAATTGATAATTATTTATCCCTCTATAGACTATTTCTTGAAGCTTGTCGCTTTAGTTTGCATCATTAGCGGTAAGAGATATTAATCAAGTCCGTCCTTTTCTTTTTCTGTTGAAATATTTGCATTCGATTTGAGTTTTGATGCATTTCTCCTTTTTTCTTTTTTTTTTGCCCTTTTTTTGACATTTTAAGGTTTTCAAATGATTATGAAGCTTTATTAGTTTCTGCTAGTATAAATGGAGAAGGAATGGCAAAAGTTAGAGATATTACTAAGGATTTTAAATATGTAATTTGGCTTATGGCAATGGGTTTGGGATATAATGAGGTTCTTTTCCTTTGTGATACTGAGGTTTTTGGAATACTTTGGATAGACTCGGGCATCAATGCACTCTAAGCGTTCGTCTAAATGTTGAAATTAAAACCAATAATTTCAATGTCATCCAAAGTCCCTACAGAGATCATTGAATTTAAGGGTATGGAAGTGGTCCTTACAAATAGATATTTCAAATCACGGTTATGGTAGCTATGAATGATTAACAAGATACACAAGTGTGCATTTGTAAAAATTTGCAAATACAAATTCAAACCTTGTTTTATGCTAATACATAAAAGATAGTTTTGAATGAAATAGATTGATGCATGCAATGCATTTGTGTTAAGGAGAATGTGAAAGAGTGATAGAATGACACTTTTCTAAAAAAATAAAAAATAAATTACATTATATTATTGGAGCAATTAACTAGATGCATATGTGTGCGTATTTTTGAAATTTTGAACACACAAATTCAAGCCTTGTTTTATATTAATGCATATAAAAAGGAAAACTTTGACAATTATATTGATACATGCAAGGCATTTGCTCAAGAAGAATGTGGCAAAGTGTGTCACTTTTTTTTCTTTTTTAAATTTGTGTTAACTTTTTTTAAATTCGTAACTCTTTTTTTTTTTTTTAAATTTGTGTTAACTTTTTTTAAATTCGTAACTCTTTTTTTTTTTTTTAAATTTTTGTCACTTTTTAAAATAGTTATCACTTTTTTTGAATGTTAATTTTTTTAGTATTTGTCACTTTTTTCAGTTGTCTTGAAATTTCTATTACTTTTTTTAGTAACAAACATCACTTTTTAAGAAAAGTGATATTGTATGTCATTTTTTAATAAAAATGTGACACTAAACTTTTAAAAATGACATTGTGTCACCATTTTTTTTAAGAAAAGTGACAATTTTTATTTAAAAAAAAAAAGAAAAGAAAAGTGACATTGTGTCACTTTTTAATTTTAGGAAGTATTTTCTACTTCTAAAAAACTTTTCATATGATTTTTCAAAGGAGAAGAGTTCACAAATCAGGTTTTAAATATGCCTAATTCAAAATTCAGGTTACAAGTTTCATCAATGCAAAAATGAAGTTTTAACTTAATTGATTAAAAATATTTATTAAATAATGATAATAAATTTACAGTCATACAATTAATTGTCACATATTCACAATTATAGGTTACAAATTTACTTACTGGTGACGTATAATCAAATTAATTGGTCACAGATTTTTTCAACGTCACAAATCAAAATTTTGATAAGTCACGGATAATTTCGACGTCACAGATCAAAAGATCAAAAGTTTTATTGGTCAAAGATTATGTTTTAGTCTCAGGTTATCAAATTTTAAGGCGACGGACCAAATCGTCGAGGTTACATATTATCAAATTTTAAGGTCAAAAGCAAAATCGTTGATCACATATACCAAACATCACTTCCGATCTCAATTCACCACCAATATTTGGTTATAGAGCCACTAAATAGTTGGTCACAATCACCATTTCCTCCTATTACACTCTGCTCCCGCCACAACACCACCACGACCACAGCCAATAACAAAAACTACCACCAAAACACAACAATGACTGCACCACACCACAAAACACTATCACACCACCACCGACCACGCCGACACTACCACCAGCATCACCACTACCCCCAACAATGCACATCACAAAATAACACCTCTTTAAACCAACACTACTAGCATCACCACTATTCCTAACAATGCACATCATGAAACATCACCTCTTTGAACCAACCAAACAAAATCCACGACGTCACCAACAAAAACCACTGCCAAAACATGTAAACCACCGCCTGACTGCCACCACCATTTACTGCTTGAGGCACTACTGCCACCATAGCACCGCCATCACCCCTCCAAATCCATCAACAACCAAGTACCGCACCACCATTCCAAACACCATCAATAGCTTTAGCAAATTCATCTTCAAATTGCCAGCTGATTCTGGCAAGTTTTTCTTCATCTTTGATATTTCTTTGCTTTCAGCACTTTCATAACCTTTGCAACAAAATCAATTTATAACTCAAAACTTTTGATTTCAAAATAACTAGGTTTAATTAAAAATAAACCTATTAACTAGCATAAAAAACCCGATTATTAGTTGTTTTCCTAAAAAGTAAGAAAAAAACTCCGTCACTGTTAGCGGGTTTTCTTAAAGTAATGAAAGAATTGAGGAAGAAGCTGGAAGAGTACCAACCTTGTGTGGTGACAGGCCGAGAAGCCCGGCCAAGAACTAATGTATCGCTTGGCCGGAGAAGCTTAACACTCTTATATCGAACAGTTTTTTCATGGGAATTCTCTCCTCCGACGATCAGCAATGGAATTATCAGTGAAACATAGTGTCCTGAATTCATTTTCATCAACTCACTGGCCAATACATTCTCTGCCGCAAAGGCTCTGCTACGGTGCTGTTCTAATCGTCCGAACAACACCCCAAAACCATGGCTACGAGGCTCACAAAACAAACGCCAGAGAGAAGACGAGTGTGTGCTGGCATCGGCGCATCTCCTTCGTCGCCTTTGGAGTGGTTGAACGGGTTGTCGGCATCGAGGGGAGAGAAGCCGACGCCAAGAGGAGAAAATGAGGAGACGAGAATCGGGTTTGAAAATTGGGGGAAATGTTAGGGTTTTTAATTTAATTTGGGGGATATAATTAGATATAATACTGATTTTTGCACAAATAAACTTGCCCCCTGAACCTTGAATTTGAAACTTTAAGTATCTGATTTTAAGTAATTTTTCCTTTTCAAAATATCCCTAATTTTGAGGGTATTTTCATAAGTTGCCCAAATCTTTTCCTATATCATTTTTATTACATTAAAAACCTGTAAAAATGTTGTAAATTTTTTAACCCAATAACTCACTGCCTTAGACCCAATGCAAAAGGCCCATTCCCAGAACACCTAAATAAACCCAATTACCCATATCTCACAGCTGATGTGAGACACACAGCAGACTCCAATAACCAATCTCCGCTCCAAACCCGAAATCGAATCCGTCCACCTCTTCCAGCTGAACCCTACATCCTCGCATCCTGAACATTGCTGATTACTTAGGCACAGCCTCCAGGCTCCAGTCAAGTATTTGAGGTGAGCGAAGGGTTTTGTTTTTATTATTCGCCGCCTCCAAATTTTTCTTGCTGCAACTTCAATTAGTAATTAAGAATGAATGATGAGTCTTTTCACCGTTAATAATCTAAATTAAGGCAAAAAGATAATATTTTATTATTCTTTTCAATAGATGATCTCTTTATATTTCTCTTTTGGAGTTGATTGAATCAGAATTTTGGATATTACCAAGTCAATTGGGCTGATTAAAGTAATGTTTGTTTATGGGCTCAATGCAGAAAAGGAAAAAGTTCAGATTTTTCTTCGTTTTCTTCCTTGGGAGGGCAAAAATAATTTTTTTTGGTTCAAAAAAATTTAATAGGCTGGATTAATACTAGTAGCATCTTCTTTGATCTTGTTATTGGTTACTTTCTTTTAACAGTCAAGTTTTTGAAATTTGAATTTTTAGGCTTGTTTTTTGTATTGCTTTGATTTTAATTAGCTGGTGAAGAAGTGTTTATAATTTATTTATTTTTTTACTTGCTGTATGTTTCAAATACAGTTTTTGAGCATTTGGTTAACAAATTTGTGATGTTAAATTTTATTTTATTATTATTATTATTTTTTTTTTACAATGTGTGTGTGTGTGTGTGTGTAAAAGTTTAATATCTAAGTCTCAAATTTATAAAATTAGAACATCAATAAATACTTAATGCCAGCAAGCATATGACAGAAAAGAAATAAATTTTATTCATGAGGGTTATAATTGGTGTTTTAATGATATATAATTGGAAAAGCTAAATGGAGAATTGAGAAGCTACCATCTGCTGCTGCTTAAAATAATTGGTGTTTTAATGATATATAATTGGAAAAGGAGAATCTGATAAGCCACCATGTGCTGTTTCTTGAAATCTGCTGGTACAAATTCTTCCACAAGCAGTTTTTTTAAAGATTTCCAAATTTAGACAATAAGAAGTTGGGGCTTTAAAAGCAATCCCAAGTAGGTCCTCAAATTTCAATGTTTGTTTTACCAAGGGATTTGTATTATTTGAAAGAATTATTTATCCTTTAAAGATTTTAGAGGATTTTTTTCCCCTAACCTTTAGTTTTGGTAGACGCCTAGCAAGAAAGAGCCTTCTCTGTTAGCGTGGTTCACCTTCATATTTTTCGCTGTGTATATCATGCGAGTTATAGCAGTTCTAGGGATTTTGTTTGGTGTCTCGAAGTTGTAATCGTCTTATCAATGATTGCGACAACTTTGAGAACTTTGAGTCAAGTGAAGTTCTCCTGGTATATTGCAACTTTATGTTTGAAACCACTTTTCTTGTAGTGATGATTGAAGGAGTTTTTGCTTGTAACTTGTTCGTCTTAATTATGATCTTTCATTTAGAAGTTTTTGCTTGTGACTTGTTGATTTTCTAAATTTTGTTAGTAGATTGACTTTTTTAAATTCAATCCCCTCACATGTTGTTCAAGGTCTGACCTGTATAAAATTTAAGCTTTTTAAAAAGAAAAGTTTTTTTTTTGTACAATTATAATTGCAATATGTTTCAAGGAGACAAGTTTGTTTAGAAGTCATATAAACATGCAATTTTAATTAAATGTAACTAGGAGATTTGAATAATTGGATCCACAAGTTCTGCTCGTATGAATATCACATCGAGTGACAACTTCATTTAATAGTTTCAAAGATGAGAATAATTTATATACAAATTTAAATAACTTCATTAGGCATGGCTTCTAAATTGAACAAGTAGATGAGTGCTGAAGAAGTCATTTATCAAGAGATTATAATGTGAAAGAGATTATTTATTTGGAGTGGCAAAAATGCTGGATATCAACCGTACCCAAATTGGACAAAACTGAAAGAAAGTTTCTGGTTAAAGTAAATTGGGAACCAGACTGTTCTCAGGTAAATTGTCAAACTGAGAATCCATCCACCCCCCACACCCAACACACACATCACACACCACGCGAAACCTAATTTTAACTTTTAGGGCTTTTCTCCTTATGCATTGCACCAACTACACTGGATTACTACCATAAAGAAAAAAAAATGTTGAAAGGGGAATTCTATTCGTGTTCTTCATTGATTGGCGCAGAGCAGCCTACCTCAATACCCTTTCTTGAATTTTTCTCATTTCTTCTTCCAAATAATCTGCAAACCCTTACCCTATTTACAAAAGTAATATCTCTCATGTTCGAGCCAAACTTCAAAATTTTCTCATTCTATCAGAAATTGGCAAAGATTTTTCTTTATGCACCCTGTTTAGCATTTAGACTCAATAAGGTGAATATACTCTGATCCATCTTTTAATATAATGATTTTTCTTTTTTTTCTTTTTTTTTTGGGGGAAAAATTTACTCTCTATCTGGTTTTCCAGTATTCATGGTTCACCTTTTTAGGTTAGCCTGGATGTAGGTTTTTTCTTTATTTGTTGTAGGTTCAAATTATTGAGCTAGTTACTAATTTATTTCACTTTAATTGCAAATTATCAATTCGGTTGTGCCAAGTAAAAATTCCTAGAACACAACAGGTTTTTTCCCTTAGAAACCAATATTTTTTCCCCTTTCATTTCCAAGTTTACCCCTGCTTTGTAGAATCTCTGCAGCATGAATGTGGTTGTGTTAACTTTCTCAGACTGATTGTTGGGGTTAGTTTAAAAATGACTCGTTGTTACTTGTTAAGGGTTTTTGGTGTGCACTGCTAAGTGCTGATCTTTGAGCAGAGGCATGTTTCCATCTCTTGCTTCTCTTTTTAGTTAAGCTCCCACCCCCCCACCCCCGAAATTTCTTTGTTTTCTCGTGTGTTATGTGTACCTAATAGCTATGGTATGCTGTAAACTAATATGCTGTCGGTGGCTGTGCAGAACTATAGTGAAAGATGAAGTTGGATGTTGATGTTCTTCGTTATCTCTCGAAAGATGACTTCAGGGTTCTCACAGCTGTCGAAATGGGCATGCGCAATGTATGTTTTCTCTCATTCTCTATCTTCCTTTAAGCATTATACTGACAATATTTACACCCTGATATTTATTTATAGTTACTACATTTATTTATAATTGTTAATAGTTGATTCCTTTTTTCATTATTTGTTGGGATCAGCATGAAATTGTACCATCGGAGTTAATAGACCGAATTGCATCACTCAAGTGAGTTCTCTTTTACTTATTTTGTATTTGTATATATTTTTTGTTTATTTCATAGATTAATTTATACATTGTTGTGATTAATATTTGTATTTCTGCATATGATATAGGCATGGGGGTACTTATAAGGTGTTGAAGAATTTGCTTAAGCACAAGCTCCTGCACCACGACTCTTCCAAATGTTAGTGCTCATTCTTATTCTCATTGTTTCTGTTATTAAATATTCTTGATTGCTCATTTTCGGAGCAATGTGCATCATTCAATGTTGCATTACCTGTGCTTCCGGGTTGTGAAGTGTTCATCATGCCTACCATGTTGATGGAGCTGCTTTCCTGTTGGAGGATAAAGGTTTCCAGTTTTGTCCGGGAGCAGAACTTGGTTGACGGCACCACATTGTTTTATGTGGATTGGCATGGATATAGAGGAACAGTAGAGTGTTTGTAGGAGTGGTGAATCTTATCTTGAAACTGAAGTGCTTTTGCCATCTTCTAGTGATTTGGTCCCAAATTCCATCCCTTATTGTGTGGATGCGAAGATGGATTTTGTTGAGAGCGTATATAACACTTTAGCTTATGTATTGCTTTCTACGACTGCACGTATACCTTTTCTGCACCAAATAAAAACTTATTTTTCGTGGTATATCATTATGCAGATGATGGCTTTCGGCTCACTTACCTTGGTTATGATTTTCTCGCAATAAAGACAATGGTCAATCGTGGAATTTTTACTGGTGTTGGCCGTCAAATTGGTGTCGGAAAGGAGTCTGGTATTATACCATCACAAACGTTAATTAATCAAGTTTTATTGTTTTCTTTAGTTTGTTGCATGGCAAAATGTTTTTTAATTATTGTTTCTGGTTTGAAGACATATTTGAGGTTGTGAAGGAAGATGGTACTGTTCTTGCGATGAAGCTTCACAGGCTTGGTAGAGTTTCTTTTAGGGCAGTCAAATCTAAACGTGATTATTTGAAGCATCGCAGTAGCTATAATTGGCTGTACTTGTCGAGGCTTGCTGCTCTTAAGGAATTTGCCTTTATGAAGGTTCAATAATGCTTAACGTTATTTCTTTCTTCTCTTTCATTTGCATTTTGTGGACAGAGGTGGTTAGAGCTCCAGAATGGTAGTTACCTTATTGCTGAGTTGTTTACTTTTTCCTGTGCAGGCCCTGGAAGAACATGGTTTTCCTGTTCCAAATGCCGTGGATTGCAATCGGCATTGTGTTGTTATGTCTCTTGTCCGCGGATATCCACTGTGAGTGTTTAGTTTGTTCCAAATGCCTTTGTGCATGTTTGCTGGAATTTTTCTCAAAAATAAATTTTTGAATATGTATTGGCAGGCCTAAAGATGCATTTATTACAATATGCTCGTACTTTTTTTGTTCTTGATTCTTTTGCTTTAAAATTGAAATACGAAAAATGCATTACCAACATTTCTACATAAGAATAATCTACCTATCTATGTCTGGAGATGCTGTTGCAAAGTGGAAGATGACCATTGGAAAGTGAAGCTCGTGCATTCAAGAACCGATTAACAAATTATTAGATTTTATAGTCAATAAATTATGAGTGGTCAATAAGCTGATCGAAAATCCTAGAATGATGAAGAGAAATATAATCTATCATAGATGTTAACAATTTAATATTTTAACCTTTTAAACACTCAGTAGTCAAGTCTTGAGTCTGCTCCCCAATGGTTATCAGTTCGAGTTTCCTTAAAGTTATTGAGGTGAGTACCCGACTATAAACTTCAGGACCCCGTGGAATTAGTCGAGGTGCACGTAAGCTGACCCGACACCCATGGTCATATAAAAATAAAAATAAAAACAATTTAATCTTTTAAACTTTTAGATGAGGTGTTCATTTAAACATGGTACCAGAGTTCAAGAAAGATTTTAGTGAAAATCTTGCCTTCATCGATTCATGAATTTCAGACAGAACAATAATGAATTCAAACTGAACATGAGGAGACACGTCCGAGATGTAAACTTAAGTAAATAATTATTATCATATCTATTACCTTGAGCTTTTAGACACGGTCCTTCATGAAGTGCTTGGTTTCCATGTTTTTTTTTTTAGACGTAATAGGGTATTGTGGTATGTTTCCAACATGAGGTGAGGCATAGGCTTTGAGACATTTTGAGGCGAAAGCCTCATTATAAACCTAAAAATGTCAGAAATTATTAAAATGTAAAATAAGCTTATAATAAACCATAAATAATCTTCAAAATTCATAATAGAACAATTTAAAGAGTACAAGAAAAAGAAAAATCTGTTTAGTTTCAAGAAGGAAACTATTTTATTTCATTGAACTTATTATTTTCTGTTTGATTTTCTTGATGTATTTATTGTATATTTGTAAATTAGACTTTTAATTTTGTTAATTAGTTTTATTATAAACTTTTTCAAAGAGGGTTCATGGTATATTACAAGCATATTTTAATATTCTTTTGAATTCTTTTACTATTTATCTCGAGGCTTATGCCTCCCCTCATGGAGATAAAATGCCTCAATGTCCGAATATTCCTTTTTAAACATTGGCCGTGGATAAAGCTGGAGCCCATGAAAAAGATTGAATTACAAAAGGAAATCTTTGTTTAATAAATAAGTTACAAGATGTTTACTTTATTCATATTGTTTGATAACTAAATAGCTAGTTCCATGAGGCTAATGTCAAGTTTCCTAATTTTGAATTCTGTGATAATTCTTTGTGTTGCACTATGTTCATCATCATATTTTTGCAGTGTGCAGGTTAAGCAATTGCAAAATCCAGATGTGGTTTTTGAAACAATACTTAGTCTTGTTGTTCGTATGGCAGAACACGGTCTCATTCATTGTGATTTCAATGAATTTAACATTATGGTATGCTACAGCGGTACTTTCAAAGTGCATTATTGTCCCTAGAAACATTCTCACATAAGGTTTACTATTAAGCCCTTGTTTGATTCTCTTTAAAATTTTAACACATATTTCTCTCTATTCTTTTCAACCACACATTCTTCAATAAAATAATATTACACGTAAATAAAAAACTTTTCCTTCTTTTTTAATCACACAATCTCCCAAAAATTATTATTCCAAAATACTTTTTACCCAAATTTTTCATTATAATGGTTGTCAAACAGGGGCTAAATGTGCACTTTGCTTTACCTGCACTAGTGACTCAATATATTGTTTACTTTTCCTAAAAAAATTCTATTGGTGCTAGTGATAAATGAATTGTGTTCTAGTTACATATTTCTGTTCAGGTAATTCTTTTTTTCTGAATTTATTGGCTACGTAGATTGATGATGATGAGAAGATCACAATGATTGATTTCCCACAAATGGTTTCAGTATCTCATCGTAATGCCAAGATGTATGATAGTTTTTCCACCATAAGTACCAGCTGTACTTGCCCCAGTTATTTTATTTAATATAATTCTATATGACACTTTATCGAGCACTTATATTTTCAAATAACAATAAGTTCCCAATTTTCAGGTACTTTGACCGTGACGTCGAGTGCATTTTTAAGTTCTTCAGAAAGAGGTAAGTGTCCATTTTCTGAAAGCTCTGAAGTTTGACTTTGGAAAATGGGTATATCCATAATGTCTTATTTTAGATTGCCTTCTAAGCTTTCTAGAAAATAAGCACCTCGATTGCTGCGTGGTCTTTTACAGTAAGCATAATGAACAGATAATCAAATGTAATATTTTTGTTCCTAATGGTTTAGACTTTTGGAGATAGTTGTAGATCCTTTACATTTATGTGGATAGTGCTGATGACATTCTGGGTAACCTACATGTGGAGGTGTTAAGCTATTTAATAAAAGTACTCAGCTTCTCAATTGTTCATTAGTTATAATGTGGCCTTTGCTTTATTGGGGAGTGTGCTTGGCTGTTCTAGGCATTTTTGGGGATGGGTTTTTTCTTTTGATAGGTAATCAAATAATTTTATTACTTAAAAGAGAATACACGGGGGGTGTATAATCACTTTAAGCCATTAAGGAACGACATGAAATTAGGCAACCCATCTACAGAATTTCTAGCCACAGCATTAAACCAAGAATACAAGGTAAAGTAAAATGTTTCTCTTATCTGCTCTCGTCTTTGTTTGGTCTTCGAAGTATCGATTGTTCCTTTCTCTCCACACGCATCATACAATGCAGCCCGGGATAAGGTGCCATGCTAGTTTGTTATCCTTATCATGAAGTTTTCTCCGCCATGCCCGTATCACGTCCTCTATACAACGAGGCATCACCTAATCCATAAATTGAGAACTAAGTATATTGTTTCAAATCCAACGTACACCATCACAATGAATGAATAAATGATCGATCGTCTCCCCATACTTCTTGCACATATAACACCACTCGGTTGCGTAAAAACCTTTACGTCGAAGATTATCCACCATTGAGACCTGTCCCCTCACAACTATCCACAATAGGAATGCCACCCGAGGAGGCAATTTACACTGCCACACCAACTTCTAGGGGAATGAATTATTCACACATCCTATGAGGGAATCAAAGTACAAGCGAACTGAAAAAATGACATCCTGTGTTGTTCTCCCCTTGATGCAATTTCTCTCTTCAACTCGAATTTGTGCCTCATGTAAAAAGGTCATTAACAGCGAATAATCTTCCAATTTCCAATCCTGAAGATTCCTCCCAAAAGTAATATTCCAGCTATAGTTCTCATTATGAATGTCTAAGAGATCACTCGCCATAGCAGTGGACACTGAGGCAATGTGATGCAAGGAAGGGAATCTCTCCTTCAGCGGTTGATCTCCGCACCAACAATCATCCAAAAATTTAATCTCATTACCATTTCCGACCACAAACTTCAGTTTGTCCAAAAAAGCACTCCATCCCCGTCGAATATACCTCCACAAACTCACCCCATAAAAATCACGATCCTCAACTGTACACCATCCCCCCTCCGTCACACCATACTTCGCCCCAATTATTTCTCTCTAGAAGCTTTCCCTCTCCACTCCAAATCACCACAACCACTTGCCTAATAAGGCTTTATTGAACAACACAAGGCTCCTCACCCCAAGACCCCCATCCTCATCGGCAAACAAACAACTCCCCAATTGACCAAATGGAGTTTCCTCTCCTCCCCCAACCCTGCTCACAGAAATTCTCTTTGAAGTCTCTATAATCTCTTTACCACTGCAATCGAAATGGGGAACAATGACAAAAAGTAAGTAGGGAGATTGGAGAGAGTGAATTTAATGAGAGTAAGTCTACCTCCCTTAGAAAGGTACATACGCTTCCACCCTGCTAACCTTCTCTCCATCCTTTCCACAATACCATTCCAGATATGGGTACTTTTAAATCGTGCCCCCTAACGGGAGCCCTAGATATGACATCGGCAGCTGCGCAACCTTACAACCCAATATATCAGCCAGCTCCTCGACATTATTGACCTCTCCAACTGGAATAGCCTCAAACTTCCCCAAATTGATTTTCAACCTTGACACCACTTCAAAACATAAGAGCAGACGGCGCAAGTTCCTGAATTGTTCAACATCTGCATCGCATAAGATCAACGTGTCATCTGCAAATAACAGATGGGACACCTGCAATTGGTCAACCATAAAACCCCTTATCAAACTCGCTCTCACGGCTCTTTCAATCATCCTACTGAAAGCCTCCATCAGAATGACAAATAACAATGGGGACAATGGATCCCCTTGTCTCAAGCCTCTACTGCTCCGGAAATAACTCTCAGGTGTTCCGTTGACCTAAACTGAGAATGAAACAGTAGAAATACAGAATTGAATTCATTTACACCATTTATCCCCAAAGCCACAGCGCCTGAGCATATACAACAAGAATCCCCAATTTACATGATCGTAAGCCTTCTGAATATTTAGCTTACAAAGCATCCCTGGGGCCCTTAGGCGCATTCTTGAATCTATGAATTCATTCGCTATAAGCACAGAGTCCAAAATCTGACGCCCTTTTACAAATGCATTTTGAAACTTGGACACTAGTTTTCCCAGCACCTCCTTTAATCTGTTTGCCAGGACTTTCGAAATAATCTTATACACCCCGCTGACAAGGCTAATGGGGTGAAAGTCCTTAATATCAGTCGCTCCCGATTTCTTAGAGATGAGCACAATAAATGTGGCGTTAGAACTTCTCTGGAATCTGCCACGTTCAAAAAAAATAAGATAAAGTATTCACAATGTCCAGTCGAACCACATCCCAGCACGCCTTGTAGAATGAAAACGAGAAACCGTTTGGTCTCGGAGCCTTATCATTGTTCATGCTGAATACTACCTCTTTAATTTCATCCTCCCAAAATGATCTCTCCATCCATCGAGCATCATCCTCAGTGATTGTAGAAAAGTGCAATCCCTGCAATTCTGGCCTCCATTCAAATTGCTCCCGATAGAGGTTCTGATAAAAATTCACCAGTTGGCTTCCAATTTCCTGTGGTTCCTCATAAGTAACCCCGTCCACCTCCAAAACTGTGATGGAGTTGTTCCTCCTATTAGAATTGGCGACCTTGTGGAAGAAATTAGTGCATTTATCCCCCTCTTTTAACCAAGTAACTATAGATTTCTGTTGCCAAGTAATCTCCTCCATCTCCACCAACTTCTCCATCTCTTTCTTTAATACTCTATGTCTCTCCTTCTCCTCCCCAGCCAACCCTTGCGGGGATGGCTTTGGCTAGCAAGTGATTCATATTGCTTTGATTTTGCTTGTACATGAAATTTTTTGAGACTATCAAATTGATGCCTCTTTTATGAAGTTGACATTACTGCATAAAGAAAAATGAGTTTCTTGAGATAATGATTGAATCATGATAGAGGCTTGTCTTGGAGTTCTAAGGCATGCTTTTACTATCTTTGTTGCTTGGACTATCCATATTAGTTGTAACACCTATGTCGGACATCCATGACAAAGATAAAGTAAGGGATCCTTCGCTGATCCTTTAAATGAAAGAGGCAATTTATATCATTTTTGTTATTTGGTATTGTATTTAAAATGATTTTTTTAATTTATATTTCACATTTATAGAGTTGAAAAGAAGTGTTACAATTTGCAATTTAATTTGTTATAGATTTACAATAAATATATATTGCCCATTTTTGGTTCGACTAAAAATGCAAATTAAAATCCAATTCAAAGTCAACAATTAATTTTGACCACCATTTCAGGCGAGAGGCAAAAAAATTTTATCTAAACCAAATAGGGGCATTATTCCCTTGAATATGCATCTCTGAGTTAATTTTAAATTTATAAGACTTATCCATGTAGGTATATGTCTAAACTTCGGATCTTCTTTAAACGCATCCCCATATCATAGATTTTGGAAAGAAAATGATCAGGCTTCTAGATATGTAGTTGTTTGTGATGCCTACCCCCGAGTCCAAGCAACATAGCTTACAATTGGTTTGGGAACGTAGTATGAAAGTAGTGGTTTAAAAAAGTTAACATTAGTCGCTATCGGTGAAGGGTTTATGTTTAATCGTTTCTCTCCCTTTCCATTTCCATTATTTGGGATTTCAACAGGTTGGATTAATTCCTTAACAAAGTAACAATCTAGATTAGACTGTTTCCCTGTAATCTGGATTGAGAGAATTTCACAAATACTTCCTCAGAAGCTCCTTAACTGCCAAGGATGTATCTACGATTGGATTGGGAATGCAATAGAAGGGATCCCTATTTGTGCGTCTGATCATGCTACCAACATTGAAAATAAAGTGCGTTTATACTACCCAATAACGAAAAACATGTTGCTTTTTGTCGAATGATATATGTTGTGTGAACGTAAAATTGTAAATGATTTATTGGCTTTTCTACCTTTGTCGTTCTGCTTCTCCTCTTGCATTGCATTATAGCACTGGATAACTTCGTTGACTTTCATGACACAGTATAACTTTATTTTTTTGACAATTAACTATCCCCTTTCTTTCTTTGTGGACAAAACTCATTTATTTAGTTTTGTGTCCGACTAGCTGGTTTTCTTGCTAAGGTGATTCTAAAAAGAATATGTTGATAATCTATACTGGGAAGAAGCTTTTAAACTTTTAGAAATGGCAATGTGTTGTAGCAACACTGAAAAGCACGTACTTGCTCACTTGTGGGTCTAAATATCTTGCTAGAGAGGCCGAATCGACTTGATAAGTTGTACGGAGTCCGTGACAACTGGAGGATAAATCGGAACAATTATTACCTACATAACCAAGTATAGTAGTCTAATTTCACACTCAAGACAAGCTTCAACCATTTTTCTCTTCAATCCATATAAGTTATTGGAATAGAGACCATAATATATCTCATATATGTTATTTTATTTTATTTTTATTTTTCTGAACTGCATGTACACGATACATATTGAGAATGTTTTAAATTTAAAAGTGGATTTCCCCTTCATCCCACTCACACTATGAATAGTTGTACCATGTGCACCCAGAATTGATGTAGGACAAAGGGGTAATGAGTAAGAAACTAAGCACACTGTTTGGCTTGCTTGCTGTTCAAGTATTTAATGGATATGGACACATTAAACATAAATAGCTAAATATTGCTAAGAAATCTGCCATTATGTTTCTAGTGTTCGTTCCTTTCGCTCTCTATCATGTCTCCTCATCCCACGTGTATTCATTTCGTCTTAAATTTTCGGTTATCTTCTAATAGGTACAACCTGTCTTTTCAAGAAAATGAAGATGAATCTGATGATTCAGAGGTAGATTCAGATGAAGAATGCCGGCCTCAGTTTTCTGAGATAAACAAAGTTTCCGGTTTCCTGGACAAGGAACTTGCAGCAAGTGGTTTTACTGGAAAGGATCAAGAAGACATTGAACGGGTATAACTTATCTTCTGCGCTTGGGAGTGGGCTGGATATAAATATTTGTTCTTCCATACCAACAATTGTCCAATGTTACCTAATTGACATGTTTTATATTTTTGTTCTTCCATACCAACAATTTTCGAATGTTACTTAATTGACATGTTTTTGTTATGCAACCGTAAGAGAGCGTATAGGTCTTTTTATTTACAATCTGACTTTTGACCTTTTGGTCTGATTTGTTGCACATTCCTGGACATATAAACTTGTGTAGCCTCTTTTACTGGGTCTAACTTAATAATTTGGTAAATTGACACCAGTCAGAATGATCTCATATTCATATAAAAGAATCATATAAAGTAAAGATAGTACATCTTTATTTCTGATTAAATTGTCCCTATGGGCTTGTTCGGTAGTGATTTTGAGAATTGATTTTTTTGATCGCTGGAGAAGAAAGTGGGTCGTACCTGTGAGAGAATAAGTAAGAAATAACAGTTGGAATAGTGAAATAACGGTCAAAAAATTGATTTTTTTAGGAGAAAAATCAATACCAAACATGCACTCTATTGACGTTCAGATGTACTCAGAATGAATTTGCTTTTTCTTTGTGGTCACCTATTTCTAAAAGAGATTTAATTCCGTCTTTAGGAATATGATTTATATGAACATATACCGAAAATGCTATCAGCAAATATTTTTCACTTAAAATTTTAGTTAAACATCTTGATTGCTGAATGTGTTAGATATTTTTTTTCCTACGTATATAATCTATAACTCAACTGTGTTGGGCGAAATGTTCAATATCAAGTGAAATGTTGGCAACTGCTTCTGTCAGTATTTTCAACAAGGTGTTATAGGTTATTTCTGGATCCATCTAGTGACGCTGTATTATTACTGTACAGTTTATTTATTATAGATTGTGCCTGAATTGAACTCCTGAAGCAACACCTTACTTACAAGGGGTTAATTTTCCTGTATCTGCTAGCAGATATGTGCTATTGATATTTGATCAAATGGGTACATTATGTAGTCTAGTGCATCATAGGATATTTGATCAAATGGTTACATTATGTAGTCTAGCGCATCTTCAGTACCTCATGGAATTATTTATACAATTTTTTTGTTGATCTATCAGAAGTATCCCAATATTGTTCTTTTCTTGACTTTTTAGATAGCTATAGATTGTTTATAGTCAATTAGCCTTTGTAAATGTGTTGCATATTCTGTAAAATCTTTGCAAACTGGAAAAGATGCTTATTTCTGAGGCAAGTAATGCTGATTTTTGCCCAAGGTCCTTATGTTTCTTGAATTCCATAACGGCTTAACAACTGTTCTGGAAATATACGATCTTGGTTATGGTAAATATGCACACTCGGTCTCCTTTTCTGGTACTTCAATCAGGTCATCCATATTTTATTTCAATTCATATTTTGTCTGTGGCTTGATAAAAATCATAGCTTAGTTTTATTTTAAAAAAAGTAAAGATCTTAATAGTTTGTAATGGTTGACGGTCATTGGTACCAATAGTTTCTCTAGGTTAATTTACACTGAAAAAATCTGATAGTTTATACTGTTTTGGATACTTCTATAACTAATGTTCTTCTCAAGTTATTACTTTGTAACTGTTGATGCCCAGTGGTAGCACTTCCATTATTTCTGATGTTGATTACTGTTCTCAAGTACTGAATTATGCTTTATATATGCAGTTCATTGTAGAGGATGTTGAAGAGGATTCAGATTCTGACGCTGAAGGAACAGAAGACGAAGAGTACAATGCTGACAGCACGAATGAGTCAAACATTAAGGATTTTGATTCCGTGTGCTCACTGAAGAAGGTAATTTCTTCACATATTAATGCTTTTGCCTATTGCTTAAATTTGAAGTTTTTAATCACAAGTATCGTCTTTTTTATTTGTACTTTATGCTGCATTAATCACAAGTATCTTCAATCAGAACTAAAGCGATTAGGGTGTATTTGATTGCAAGTATGGAATTTGCCTAAAACTTCTTTGTAAGAAAATTATTAATTAATTGTGTTTGATTTGTCTAATCTTCAATCTAGAAAATGTTATACTTGATAATTTTTTATTGGTAGATGGATGATAGAAATGGGGGTAGATGAGAGAGGGAGAGTGAATTGCTTGGAAAATAAGAATCTACCACCCCTGAAGAAAATGTTTTCCTTGTTTTTTGAGGAAAATATGGTCATAGGACTAACTTTTGAAAGATGTTTTCCATGAAAAAATTGTCAATCAAGTAGCTCGAAAGTAGAAATTTGGTTGGAAAAATAACATTTTTCATGAAAAATAAAGTCAATCAAACACACCTCGTACTGTCATTTATCTTGAGTGGATAACGTGGAGATGATGGTGAGGCTTTCTCCCAATCAGATGTTTGCATCGTCCCTAAGCTTTGATAAAAATCACGAGAACTATGGCTTACCGTTAATTTTCATCTTTACATTTTCAACTAGTTGAAGCTCATTAATGCATTGTCGTAATGGAGATCGACTCTGGTCCAAACTAGGAGGCTGAAGAGGTGAAATTAGGACAGGATGAAAGTAACAAATTTCAATATGATATATTATTCCAGCAAGAATACTATTTTCCATAAATCTTATGCTGCATTATGAAATAACAATTTGTACTTGCAGGAAGAAGATAATACACCTGATTGTGGAGATAGACAGATTGAGCACCAAGCTGTGGAAAAAGATAGACATTTTGAGCGTGACGATAATCCTGAAGACGAATCTTCACAAGCTGGGTGTGATCATGATTCTGAAGCCGACGAGCAAATTGAGGACCCTGAACTTATGAAGCGTCTGACTAAACAGAGACAGCGAGCCATTCAAGCAGCCCGTGGGAGAAAGAAGAGTTCTACGTCGAGAACCAAGTACTCAGATAAAGGCGGAAGGTCCTCTTACAAATCAAAGGTCCAAAAGCAAATGAGCAGCTGGTAAAATGCCTAGAATACATCGAGGTGATTATAATTATATAGAGTTCCACCTTTTCTTGTGATGACAAAATATTGGAAGAGCTTTAATGCTGGAGATACTGATTTCCTCTGTTGCATGTTGTAATATTCACATCATGTAAGATCTATTTTCAGATTTTGATCGCGGAATGTAGATTACACTTGCATTAAACCGATTTTTGGCTTGCAAGTTAAAATTTTATCCAAGTTTTCATCTCGCGTTTATGCTTGGCTTACGTGCAACATTCTTCGTGATCGTAAGGATTTTTCTTGTCCCGCTATGCTCTCGTGATTTTATTGTTTTGACAAAAATTTCTCCGTGTTAGTCCCTTGTATGTGTGGTAGTTTTGTAGCTGTACTATAATTTTAAAAATGAAGTGGTAAGTACAAGTCTCTTGATTTGTGACCAGATAAGCAAGCACATGCAGCAATTTATGAATCTATAAAGCTTTGGTCACAACTTATATGTGGATGCTTTGAACACAAGTCTGTTTGGACCTCCAAGTTTACGAAACTTTATCATGATCATGCATAGATCATGAATTTTTGGGACCATAGACCATAAGCATCAAAAGGTACATCGTAGACTTTTCATGTAGTGCTACATGCGTTTAGGTTAATGCATCTAGAAGTTTTAAACTGTTAGAGATGAATGTATGTAATTATATGCACAACATAACCTTTTCTGAGATGAAGTTTGTAAAGATGGAATGATGTATTAGTGTTCGTTGATATGAAGATTCAACTTAAGTTCTTCATATGGTAGATTTCTCGAGTAAATATTCTAGATGATGTGATAGCAATCTATGAAGGTAAGATTGGTACTGGCTTTTCAAAGGGGACAGTACAAATGACATCTAGTTGTTACAAGGAGAATTGAGCACCATGTTGTACTATGTTTCATCATCAATCTTCGCTCCCATCATTATTGTTTTTCCATCCCTTGTAATGGTTATACAAAGCATACAATAATATACCAATTTCTTTTTCTTGTTATTTAAATCCTGTCAAAATCATACAAGATGCCAATATAATGTACAATAAACTCCAATTTATGTTTAGGATCAACCACAACTGTTACAATCAAAAGTTTGTTCATCTTATCAACATTCTCTCAATACATGTCAAACTTACCCTTCATGCAGCTTGCCATATTACTAAGTGCACAATCCTATTTGTCACTTATTATCTTAAAAAACTGTTCAATTTACAGATTTCATTGAAGTAGATATTGGAGGTAACATTCAATGAAGCAGTAAATTTCAGAGTAACTTCATCAAATGTTTATAAAAACTCATCGAGTCTTCTAGCTTTATTGCAATCATAAGTTGTTGGTGGCCTTTCTTTCCTTTCCACCTTTACGCTCAACAAAATATTTATAATAAAGTCCATCCTCTTCCTCATGACTTGCCCTGAGAATTTTGAGGCCCTAGGCGACTCATTATTATGAGGCCTTTAAATGTAAATTTTTTACAAGCATAAAAATACTTAAATGTTTAAATGAATAATATATTTATATTTTAAACAAAGACTTGGTACAGTCCAAAAGATAGAATTGCAAAAAAAATAAAATAAATAAATTCTGACAGCCCAAGAGACTACAATAACATAATATTTAGCGAAATTTCCGTTCGTAAAAAAAATGTCATGTAAATAGTTTTCAAAATTTTTAATTGAAAAAAACTTGAGTGAAGTGCAATTTAGAAATCATGAAAAAGTTTTTAAGAACCATAATTTGAAGTCCTGAGAAAATTGTAAGAATGACTCGTAAAGAGAAAAACGATTTTCGGTTATAAAGTACAAAATTTAGGGACTAGATTGTAAAATTGTGAGAAATATATAATTTTTAGACGGTAATGTGACAAGTTATAATTATTTAATGATTAAAAACGTAACTAGATTATTATGATTTTGATTCAAGAATCTTTTAATAAATTCAAGATTTGAGGGATTAAAGTGAAAATAAGTTTCGAGATCAATAATGTATTTGTACCAAATGTGTATTTATTGGAGCATCGAAATTATCCTATCAATATTGGGCTCATTCTGAAATTCATAATAAATGACACATTATGAATAAGATTAACTAAATAATATGGATAAAGCAAATTCAAGTTATAACTCATTAAAATAACTACTTGATGTGTAATATTAGTTTTTAAACTAAATCAGACTACCCTAACAATATTGGGTTCGTTTGGTAGCTCAAAATTAATCATGTATATTAAACTCGAGAAATGTTGATTTGAATAAGATTGTATTAAGCTAGAATCAACAAAAAATATTGTAGTTAAAGTAGTTTTATATCTATCTTTTAAATTTAATTAGGCTTCTAGAATGAATTGTTTGTCATTTTTGAGGTTCCCATATGATTTGAGGCCCTAGGCTGGCCGTGCTCTTTCTCCATTTAGTGAAACGCTTTCTCAAATTTCAATGCACTATTCAACATTAACAATTAAGTTGACTATGTGTATAACAACGAACATTTAAATAAGAGTCACCTAAAATCATATTATTAGGTTTCGAATTTTCCAATTTATTTTTCACATAAATGATTGTAGAATCATTTGTATTTGCATTGTCCACAATAATACTACGTACATGCTATATTCCCCATTCAAGCAAACAATTCTCAATAAGTTTTTCAATCGTCTCTCTTTTATGATTTGGAAGAACGAAAAAGTTTAATGTCCTCCTATGTGATCTTTAATCTCTATCAATAAAGTGTGACGTGATTATCATGTAATTGATATTTTGAATTGAGGTCCAACAATATGTAGTTTTAGATATCCTTTGCCTATTATGAATAAATTTATTCATTAAGGACTCTTTTGTTTCAAGGCAATAGTTTTTTTTACTAGGAACCACAAATTTTGGGGATAGTTTCTGCACAAATGCCTTGAAACTCTCACCATCCACATAAAGAGTATTAGACACCCGCCTAATAAGTTAAGCCCTGTTCTCTTTACCGTTTTCGGGCCGTTTTCTGTTTTCGATTTTTCAAAACGGTGAAAACGTGTTCTCTTTTCCGTTTTCGAAAACGAATTTTCGAAAACGAAAAAAAAATTTGTTAAGAAAACACAAAACGACTTTTTTGTCGTTTTGGACGTTTTCAGTGTAAAATTTGAAAAAACTGAAAACGCGGGAAACACCTTTTTTTTTTTTTTTGGAGGTGGTATGGTGATTTTCAAAATTTCAAACAAAACACAAAATTCAAAATGAATTTAAAACTCAAAACACAAAACTGAAACACAAAGAGAACACCCCCTTAACTTTTTGGAACGAAATTCCAATACTCAAAACTAATTTAAAATTAAAGTAGAGTTGATCTGCATATACATCAAGTTGATTATTAGTACAAAAAAACAAAAATAAAAACAAAAAAATCGTAAAATAGGATGACTAAAAATTCACTTTGATGGTGAAAAATCATATAATTAAAAAAAAAAAATCATATACATGCATATAACTTGCACGAAAGGAAATAATAAAGTAAAGCTCTTGTTTATATTTAGGATAAGCTTATTAAATTTTTTATCAACTCTTTCAATTTACAAGCTTCATATATAATTAAATACAGCAAACTAACAGCCTAAAATGTGAATAATATATTACAAAACTTGAATCTTACAATGAATGCTTATAAATTACATGTCTTCTATTGATTGAATAAATGAGAAAATATTTTTAAATCTTCTTTAATCAAGAATCTTATACGTGACTCCTGATTTGATATATTAATCAAGAATCAATTGACGCTATTAAGAAAGATAGAATGTACATTGATATTAGCAAATGGATCACAAAGAAGCACAATTCATGTTTCCTTTGTGATTGATGCTCGACCTTAGATTCGATAAATTGATTAGACTAACGTGAGATGAAATCAATCTATTATAATAAAAGATATATAAGACAAAAATCAAAGCGTCCCTTAATGTTCTTTTGGTTATGTTGTGCAAGTTTGAAGACACAATACTCCTTGGTCAAATCAAAAAGATTTCTGACTAAATGCTCCTACTTTCGGACTATAAATTTAATCATTGACTAATGTGAGGGTCACAGGTTTGAACTTTGCTAGAAAAACAGGGCCCTGTTTTTTCGTCAGGGCGCAAAAAAACAAGGCCTTCGTGGCCCTGTTTGAGAAGAATTATTGGGTTTATAATATAGCACCCTGCCATAAGTCAAAATAAGACACCATCCATGCATGTAGCAAAATTAATTATTTGTAGTGTTTATTTTTATTGAGTTGAACATACCAAACACGTCATAAACCTTAAATTAATATTATAGTGCACGCGGGAATTTATCAGATGAAAAATGTAGGTAAATTAAATTGGCATTTTATTTATTTTATATCCACTGAAGCAGTACAATACACATATATACTCTCTTTCGAAAAATAAAACTAGATTGAAAAAGTTGAACATTATTTGATGATCCAATTTGAAATAACCGAATAGATCGTTGGAACTACTAATCTTAGAACCGGAAATAGATATGCTTATTCTTTGTTCATTCTACACTGTGAGAACGCCACAATTAATCAATCTTACAAACCAAATTAATCAGCCACTTTTAAGCTGATTTAATTGGTCCTTAAGATCTCTCCCACAAAGAAACATCGATATAGATACTGGGTTTTATACTTCTATACGCATCATATTCACAAGTCGAACTCCCAATTATTTAGTTGAAATATTATCGACTAGGCGCACCTTTTCACGACTCCACGATATTGGATTCTTTGCACATTTTATCCAGTATGGGAGTCAAATCCCTAGGATATACATTGACTTTGAGACCATACTTCATGAACAGTGTCAATGACATTTTTTGCTCCACCTTGTGTCCCGGTGCTACCATGAGTCGGTGGCGGAGTAACACTGCCGCCGCTATTGATTTCATTTGCAAATATGCCAAATCCTTACCCAAACAAATCCTAGGACCAGCATTGAAGGCTACGAATTGAAATTGATCCTTAGCTTCAAAGTTCTTTCCGTCTTTGGAGAACCATCGTTCTGGCTTAAACTCTAAGCAGTCATCGCCCCATATGAACTTCATTCGACCAGTTGAATATATTGAGTAAGTGATATTCGACCCTGCAGGTACGAATGTTCCATCCGGCAGTATATCATCGGCAATGACATGTTTGGAATCCTCCGGCACCGAAGGGTATAGTCTTAGAGTTTCTGACAATGCTGCTTTAAGATATATCAATCGGTCAACTTCTTCGAATATTAAAGGTTCTTCAACCCATTTTGAAGTGTCGTCACCACGAGTTTCAATCAGAACCGAGCAAAGTTCAATCAAGATTTTCTCTTCGACTCGAGGGTTTAGGCTAACCAGCCAGAAGAACCAACTGAGCGCTACCGATGAGGTGTCACGCCCGGCTAGAATAAAATTGAGTGCAACTTCTTGAAGAAATTTGTCAGTGTACGACTCTTTTTTCTTCATGAACCTAGATAACAAATCATCATGTTGGGACCCACCATTCTGCTGATTCAGCAACTCGAGCTTACGTGTATTGATGACATTTGTCATGTAATCTTCCACGCCTTTAACGCTCTGACTCAAGCTGACTTCCATCCCAAGCCTAAGCCACTTTTTCAATTTCCATACAAACTCGGGTAAAATAAAGCGATATAAAGTCGCTTCAGTGGCTCGATCAAAAGCCAAAGCGAAGCTATTGTCAGGTAGCCCCGGCGATAGAGTTTGTGGGTCCTTCCCGAAAGCCAAGCCACATATGTTATCAAAAGTGAGCCGTAGTAATAAATCTTGTAAATCAACATGCTTACCGTCAAGCTGAGCCGTTTTAAGAATCGGGCAGAACCGATTCTTAATAGCTCGGCTCACCCATCGAGCCATGGCTTGCCTCAATGTCCGGGTGGTGAATTCAAGTGCAGCAGTCTTACGTTGAAACAGCCACGTGTCACCATCAGAGTTGAAAATCCCTTGCCCAAGGAGATCATGAAACACAGCTTGCCATGTGGGGCCCTTAGGATAATTATCAAACCTAACCTTCAAAATGTGTTCTAAATTCTGGGGATCGCACGTGACTGTCACGAGCCCTTGCTTCCGGGCCAGAAATGGAATTGCACAAATACACGTCTGGTAAGTGCCGCCGCAGGCCCGGAGGTTGTCGGCAATCCACTCATGCATGCGACTGTTGTTCTCAATTAAGCCCGGTAAACTTCCCAAGACGGGCCACATTCGGGGGCCTGCAGGCCCTTTCAGTGACCTTGAAATCGATCTGAACCAAAGAAAATATGCTGCCACCAATGCCAAAACCATCATAGCCGTTGATAAATCCATCATGCGGCCACTTCAATTTCTTCACCAAATGGTAAAAAGTATGATTCCACAATCAAAAATTCAAAAACCAGTTAAAAAAAATTTATTCCACAACAGTAGTTTACCAGAAAGAATAATGCTATTCATCATTAGTTGTAATCATTACTTATTTACATCGCAGTTGCCCTTGATTCATCGTCCATTGGATAAGGAATCAAGGTCCACTACCACCTAGACTGACGATGATCACAATAGCATTACTCCACCAGAAAACCACTTTAGAAAAACCTAAAACCAGAATGCAAGAGTTTTTATACGTACTTACTGGTATAAAACTGCTGTTCAGGGAGCTTGCTATACACTTAAAAGTGAAATCCCATGTAAAATATATAGTTAAAAATATATATACAATTTGAAGAAAAACAGGAAGAGAGAACTGTGAGTGACAGTGATGAAGAAATAAAAATGATTTATAGAGAAGGAAAAGAGGCAATAAATAGTAGGGTTTGAACTGTTGTTGAGCTTTGAGTATATAGATACAAAATACTTATATCCATCCTCATCTCTCTCATAAACACACTCTCTATCTCGCTCTAAAAAGTCTGTTTATGAACGGCTTTCAGATCTGCAACATTTAATGCAAACAAATTCCCTTTATTTGAAATTCATATTTTGAGAAAAAGTTAATGGAATTAATCCATATATGCGTGTTAATTTCAAATTCTCTACTTTCTTTTTGGTTTTTTAGAGAATGATTTTTGTTTCATAAATTGTGTTTAAATGTTAATCTTTAAAAAACCAGCTCACCTAATTTGGCAGGAAGGAGCTCCTCCTTAAATTCCAGCATTGAATGTTAGAGAAAAAGTAAATGATATTAGTTGAGCAAGATATATACACACATATATACATATATCTGTGTGGGTGTGGGGTGGGGGTGGGGGTGGGGTGGGCGAGATGACAGTTGGTCATCAGCCATGAAACAGTTTATGGGAAGTTCCGCTTTGGTGTTTACAAATTTAGGGTTCGGTGGCCGACCCACCAACCCCATCAATGCTTCTAAGTTGTAACCCCCTCTATTAGTTAAAATTTTTGTCACCTATAATTGCTTATCAAGAAAAAAAATTTACTTTTTATCAATTTTGTTAGGTTTCATACTATGTGCTATTGTACTATTGAATTTTTTTGACGGGATATGGATAAAAATATTTAGCAATAGAGACCGATTTAGAGTCCGTTTGGCAGGGCTTTTGAAAAGTCAAAAGAAGTTTTTGAAGTTCAAAAGTTGCTTTTGGATTCGTTTGGCTAATTTTGTTGAAATGCTTTTGATAGTTAGAATAACTTTTAGAGGAAGTTGGTTCAATATGACTTTCTCTAAAAGCACTTCCAGAATAGAAAATGCTTTTAAATATTAGTTTTCAAACAAAAATTAAAATAGTTTTCTCTAAAAGCTCTTCTACAAGAAACAAAAGTAAAAACAAAAGTTATGTCAAATGGACCCTTAGAAGTTAATAATTACAACCCATAGTTTAAGGAATTGTGAATGGTGGACAGAATTACTTAAATCCATCATTTAATGGCACTTATGTATTACGTAAACGGATGTTTGCCTCGTACTAGTAGTGCTTAGAATCAATCTTTGTATAGGAGAGTAATTTATTAGCTAGAATTAGTTAAAATAATAATTACAATTTATAATTGAATATAAATGAATAATAATTTATAACTTCGGTCTATATATGTGATGGTATGGTCTACAGTCTAGATAGAAATGATCTCCTATCCATGATGGATAGATAAAACATGTCCACGTCAACGATCAAACCTACAAATTATTATTATTATTTTTTT